AGAGATATCAACTTCAAGTCGCCTCAAGCAGAACTTTTTGATATCAATTATCATATTTATTGCGTCAGTGACATCGATCTATCAAGGCAGGTGATTCATGTTGTGGATGTCTGGTTTCTAAGAATTGTTGACAAACAGGTTTTTTCTGAGAAAAGCTTGACCTGTAACAACTCCAAATTAAAGGATTACGAAACTCAGACACGCAATATACTTGAGTAAAAAACTAAATCTTTAATGTCAATTTCCATCAAAAAACACTCGCTATAGTCACGTTAACTGTTTCTTTTATGCTTCTAGAAAAGAATTGATCAATATGAGCTCATAAACATGACCTGACTGTAGTAAACCCTTAAGGAGTGTGTTTTGTAGGAAAAATCCTGGACTGTGAGAGGGGTAAAAAGTTGAGGGTGACATCGCCTGCAGAGAGAAGGTGAATCAAGAAAGGAGCATGCGTATTAGAATTCAGTGGATAAAGAACTTGAACACACTGACGGGCAAGAAAAATTTCGCAACAAGAGAAAGATGGTCGAAGGTTTCAGATCATAAACTTTGCAAAAAACCTCTTTTGTTTTCAAAATAAACATGTGACGTGGATTTCTGTGCGTATGGAAAGATTGGACCTCAAGAAGGCGCTCGGAAAATTGATTGAGTAGACCTGTACACTTAAATTGCGGATAGTTTCTTAAGATATGGCCGAGCATTTTAATTACGTGTCGAGCTTCGAAGAGGTTTATACAGCAGAGAAATATTTGTAAAATCTTGACTTTGTAGAGAGTTTTAGATAATGAGGGAAAGATATACGATAAATATATTCCAGCGGGGAGACACGAAAATCTTCCACTGACGAAGAAAAGACACGACCACGCTCTGATTTCACTACCAGAGACACAGAGACTTTTTGGTGAGTAAGGCCCATTAAGAAATTCATATGTGACACGTGTCCTGCATTCTGCCAGGATCAGCGAAGCCGATAGCGTCGCTTTTTCTAAATAGAATTCGATAAGTCTAAAAATGTCTTTCTCCATAAGAAACGAAGTTATCATCATTGCAGCGAACGATTGACGGAACGCAAAGGAACCCGAGTGAGGGAACTGGACTTGAATTCAGTAAAGTACAACATTTAATAGTTGATTTTAGGTCTGTCGAAGGAATATTTTTTAGTATTAAATAATTATATTCTGCATGTAGTTTTGAGAACTCTTTTACCCTTTGCCAATAAAATAAATGCATCTTGTAATCTTCACTAACAATCTTAAGTGGCCATACAGACAGATAACAACGAAGGCCACTGACAATTTGTGAATAATCCCTTGGTGATGACAGAATGGCTACGATTATTTATCGTAATATATTTCGCTTGAAGTATGGCTAGGAGATTTCCTTCGCAAAACTAAGGCCATTAAGGACCCCGGCTTTGATTGCTCAGTTTTTAAACGAACTTCGCAATGTCAGCAGCAAAATCTGAATCGCCGCTATCCCGGAGAAATGCTGAAGTAAACCCTACAACCCACAGGTCAGAAGACGGGTTAAATAACTGAACACACTGGAACAGTTTCACACTTTCTTTTTACTTTTATTCTTTTTTGTGTGTGTGTTTTGTTTTGGAGTTTTATGATCACACTTTTCATAATTCTCTTCATCTAAGAGCAAAAGTTTCACTTTACAAATAGCATTTATATATTGGAAATTGCGAATAAATTTATCCCATAACAATTTTTGCTGCGTAGCGAAATAATCTTAATGAATCATCACTTACAAATTTAAACTCAAGCAAACGCCATCCAGACGAATAATAAGTTAAATTATCGACTCTAGAAATAGCTACGTAAATTTTATAAACGTTTTCACCGTGTTCCAATTTTTTTAAATGTTCGCTTACTTCACATACAATACTTTTCTGTTTCCCCAAGCGTATTTGTACAAGGCAGTAACAATGTCACCCATGGTAAAAATTATGTCAAGGGGAGATGTGGTCCTTTTCAAATGTAGAATTTCTGAAGACCAATGATAACTATTACCTTAGTAACAAGGAATAGTTACGATCCGATGTTTAATTTAACATCTTTGTAAGTGCTTCCTAAGATTTTCGTTATTCTATACACATCACAGCGTAAGTAAATAGTTAAAAAACCCTAAGCAAATATTGTTAGGTTTTGATAATCACTAAGCATCGTTTAAACATATCAAAGGTGAGTTTGAAACAAAGTCCTTAGCAATTTTGAACTTCTGCTGGAGAAATTTCGTCCATGGCGAATACAAAATACAAGGTCTAAACGTCATGAAAACTATAAATAACATTGGCCACCCTATCTGCTCACCACATAAGAGCAGCAGTACTTTTTTTTCCCAAGAAATAAATAAAAGATTTAAAGCAAAAACAAATAAACAAAAACCAAACGTCCCGTATCAGATTATTTACATTAGAGTTACAACTTCAACAACGTTAAATTCTCTCACTCTGAAGTTCAAATGATTAGTGCGATTCTATGCTCTCTTTCAAGGATTATAAAGTAAAGAGTAATGAATACCCTACTACTAAAAAATATCGACGATATTCTCCTCAGTTACCAGAAAGTCCATTCCACTCCATTCACATACGCTCACGTATGTCCTCAGTGCACCTTACAGTTCACTGCCTGCCCTGCGCTGATTATCTGGTGTTATTTTGACTGGTTTTTCGCGTCCTCGTCCTGGAAATACACATCAGCCGTTTATCTACGGCGATTTTATCTACAGCTTTCGTTAAGGAACCAATCGTCACGCTGTTAAATAGTGACCCTGGTTCACAAATGTGTGTTTATATAGGGCTTGATGTAACTGGTTGTGTTACCATTTTTAAGGCATTACATTGTGTATAGCCTACGCCACCCGAGTAATGACTATGTATTTAAAACATTTATTGGCTAACTCGCGGTGTTCCGAAAAATTGAAAAATGGGAAGGAATAGAATGGTGAGCACTCTGTGGTCTTTCACAAAGCAGAATCTTTCAATTCGCTACTCTTCTGAAGTGACATTAAATTACGCCCGGCCCAGCGTTGCTTAAGACTACTCCTCCCTTGTTCAAAACACTTTTGTGACATGGTATACAGTGCACCCTATTCAAGATGAAAAGACCACAGTAACTTTATCTTTTTGGGTGGCATTAGTGGAGAGGGAGAAGAAAAAAGATATTCAGCATTCGGAGTCCGTATTTATTTCGTTGAGGCGGCGCAAACGAGATCAAAAGATACATTATTCAACAGACGCCGATCAAGATCTAGCAAATAGCGAATGGCATGCCTCAACGTTAAAGGTAGGTACCTGTTCCATGGCGTAATGGTACATTA